GAGGGGGGAGAGAGACAGTGAGGCAGAGATAGAGACACGGAGACAAAGTTCTGAGCAACATGCACAGAGCGAGGGAGACACCCTGACGCCCACCCAGACAGAGACAGAGGTGGGGATCGACGATGCGGGAGAGGGGGGCACAGAGGGATGGAGGGGGGGGGAGACAGAGTCAGAGACGAGGACAGAGGCGTTGAGACAGCAGCTAGACACACAGAGGAGAGAGAGAGGGAAGCAGAGAGAGCGAGGATGACTGAGAGAGAAGATTTGGGGGAGGCAGAGGGGCAGGAGGATGGGGAAGTCAGGAGGCCATGGCAAGTGGGCAGAGGGCAGAGCATGGGTGAGCCAGGGGAGGGTGGGGCAGGGCAGACTGGGACATTTGGGGGGCAGGGGTGTGGGGAAGGGGCCTGGACTGAGGGTCGCTGGGGGTGGAGCAGGGCCTGCCACAGCCTCTGGCCCTGGACCCCTCCTGCAGGGCCTGCCCAGAGCATGGAGCCAGGTGTCCCCAGGCGACCTCCCAGAGTAAGTCCTGTTGTGTTGTCAGCCTGCTGTGGCCAGTGTGGACACGCCCCAGTCCTGCCCTCCCAAGAGGGCCAGTGAGGAGCCCCAATGAAGGGGCAGTTGCCGAGACCGGGGGGCCACTCAGAGGTGGGCTGGGAGCTGTCACTGGGCTTGGCCTACCCTGCCTCATAGCTGCCAGGACCTTACACAAAGCTCTCCTCCTGGGCCTCAGTTTCCCCTCTATAAATTGAGTGCTATCAGGGGCCCAGGAGGCCGAGCTGAGCTCAGAGACCCAGGTAGCCGGGCTTCATGCTCTGTCTCTCTGAACAAGGGCAGTCATAGCCTTCCCACTTTGCCACCATTACTTTAAGGTTGAATTGACCTGTCTTTCCAGTTCCTGTCTTCTGTGCTGGTGGCTCTTGTCTCCCTGTCCCCCAATGCCTTGACTTGGCATCTCTTCTCCATGTTTTGCCCAGGAAATATGGAGTGACCCCTTGGTGACCCCTAAGGGGCAGCGAGGAGCTAGACTCCAGGCCCCCCCAGGGCTGTTACTTGGCCCTGAAGTTCTGGAGGGTGGAGTGTGCAGGGGAGGCCCCTACTGAGTGACATGTCCAGTCAAGTCACAGCAGGCTGGTGCTTGTGCAAAGGCCGGGAGAGTGGCATGGGAGTGGGGTGGGGGGAAGTGACAGTGCCCCTCCTCCTCCATGCCGGAGCCCCTCCCCACCAGGGTGGTGGTCAGACCCTGTAGGCAGGGCTGGGAGGTGTGTCATGTGGCAGCACGTAGCACCTCCAGCTGGAGGGAGCTGGGCCCCCTGGGGGTGGTAGGAGCTGAGCTACCCTTTTGGCTTTTTGGGAAGGAGGACGGCCTGTCCTCCTTCAACAGAGAGTCCAGAGGGCACATCTCCCGCCCAAGCCATGCCGCAGGCAGGGTTTTCTACAGCCAGGGCGGAAGCGCTGGCCTTCTGATGCAGGATGTTGGGGCAACGGCCTGCTGCAAGGGTCTGTTTCAACAAGAAGGGGTGGCTTTCCAGAGGAGTGATACAGGCAGCGAGGTCTTGGTGCAGGGTGGAAGGGAGGTCCAGGTGGTGACACTGGTCTTCAGCCCCAAATCTCACTCACGAGGCAGGATCAGCCCAAGTCGACAGCCACTGAGCTCCTCTCCCTAGCACAGGCCTGGCAGGTGCACGGTAAACGTCCGTGAGCGAGTGAAGGAGTCACCCACCATCCTGGGAGTCTGGACATGGCACCAGTGGTGGGGGCTCAGGCGGCTGAAGCCAGCACTGTGGCTTATGCGTCTGGGTGCCACTACTTCCCTGCTGTCTCCTGCAGGCCCTCCCCAGCAGGGCGGGGGGGGGGCAGATAAGGGTGGTGGTAATGGAGCAGGAACCAGGCGAGATGAGAAGTCTGCCTTTCTCCATGGAGTGGGCTCTGTGGCGTCCCCATCTGCTGGAGTTGGCAGTAGGGCAGTGGCTGCTCTGGACATGGGCTGGCTCTGGATACAGTGAGGAAATAATTGCTTCCTCACCTCCCTGCTGCTATTCTTGCCAGCTTTCTTATGCTTTTCCTATTTAGCAAACTCTCTTTAGGCTCCTGTCCTGTGCAGACCAGCCCTGGGGTGGCAGTGGCAAGGCTGGTATCAATGAGAGAAATGTAGTCCATGGGCCAGCAGAGCTCACTGTCTAATGGGGGGGGGTACTGCAATCACGGGCTTGTCAGGATCTGCTGGGTACTTGGGTGGGGGTAGGGCAAAGGCTCAGGAGCCCAGGTGGGGACTCTGACCCTTTCCTAGAGGCAGGGACATGGATTTGGGCCTTGAGGAGTTAGTGGGGTTCAGAAGTCAGAGGAGGGGAGGGGGGTTCAAGCTGAGAGAAGAGCATTACTGAGTCAGGTGAAATGATGCGGTATGTTCACGAAAGTGTTCAGTGGGGCTGAGCCCTGTGTTGTTGGGATGCAGGGTGGGGCTTGAGGGGAGATGGTGCTCGAACACTAGGGCGGAGTCCCACTGTGAATGGGCAAACAGTAAGGTATGGGAACTTTGTTCTGAGGGCAGTGGGACGTCCATATAAACCATAATAATGGTGATCGTATCTGTCATTCAGGAACAATATCTATGCCAGGTACAGGCCTGGTTAGCAAGGGCGTTTACAGAGGACAAGAGACCTGGGAAGGGGCAAGGATAATGATGACATTGATGATGACAGCAAAGGTGGTGATGATGATGGCTATGCGATGGTGAGGTGATGGTGGTGGTGACCACGGTAATGATGGTGCTGACAGTGATGGTGGTGATGATGGTTATAATGATGGTGGGGTGGTGGTGATGGTGATGATGATGGTGGTAGTGATGGTGGTAATGATGATAGTAGTGGTGATGGTAGTGGTGGTTGTGATGGTGGTGATGGTGATGGTGGTGGTGATGGTGGTGATGATGGTGGTGGTGGTGATGATGATCATGATGGTGGTGGTGGTTGTGGTGATGGTGATGGTGATAGTAGTGGTGATGGTAGTGGTGGTTGTGATGGTGGTGATGGTGATGGTGGTGGTGATGGTGGTGATGATGGTGGTGGTGGTGATGATGATCATGATGGTGGTGGTGGTTGTGGTGATGGTGATGGTGGTGGTGATGGTGGTAATGGTGATGGTGGTGATGGTGGTGGTGATGGTGGTAATGGTGATGGTGGTGATGGTGGTGATGATGATGGTGATGATGATGGTGGTGATGATGATGATGGTGGTGATGATGATGATGGTGGTGATGATGATGATGGTGGTTGTGGTGAGGGTGATGGTGGTGAAGATGATGGTGGTAGTGATGGTGATGATGATGGTGGTGATGGTGGTGGTGAAGATGATGGTGGTAGTGATGGTGATGATGATGGTGGTGATGGTGGTGGTGATGATGATGGTGGTGGTTGTGGTGATGGTGATGGTGGTGATGATGATGGTGGTGGTGGTAGTGAACCCTGGCCAGGACAACAGAGGTGAGATAAAGAGAAAGGGCTGACTTAAAAGCATTTGATGACAGGACAGATTTGGAAGGGGCAGTTGTGATGCAGAGAGATGACCAGAGTTTCTGGTGTGGACGTGAGAGTGGCTGGGGACGCTAGTCCTGAGACGGGGACCCAAGAAGAGGGGCTGGTTCACAGGGGAGGGCTGTTTTCCTCTTGGGCACGTCCTGTGTGAGGCGCCTCTCGGGAGGTGTGCAGTGGACGGGGAGCACTCAGGTGGGAGCTCAGCAAGACGAAGACATGAGAGTCGCTGGCAAAGGGATGAGAGCGTGTGCTGTGGGGCGTGAGGTCCTGGGGGGGGGACAGAGAAACAGAGCAGGGGTCAGGGACCTCATGACCAGCTGGCATTTGAAAAGAAGCAGAACCAGGGATTTCAAAGGGAGCCAGGGGCCCGAGGAAGCGCCCAGGGGCTGGGGCGGGCATGGCGGAGGCTCCGGCTCTCCACCCCTGCCTCCCCCAGGACAGTCCACACTGGTGTTTGCTATGCGCTAGCTCTAAGTCAGTTGACATTTGGAAATAGAGTTCTGTGTTAAAAATCCCTTTCTAATATAGACGGAGGAACTGAGGTCCAGAGAGGAGAAGGGACCTGCCTAAGTGACTCATCGTGGTGGCAGATTCCGGGCTTTGCTGCTTCCCTGCTCTTGGGGACACAGGCTGGGGGCTGAGGAGACCTTGCCATGGGGGCTCCCTTCTCTCCTCTCCTTCAACAAGCTCTGCACCGCCCCCGCCCCCAGGCTGCCGAGGGAGGGATCTTGGGTGGGGGAGCCCCAAGGGGTGAGTGTGGAGTGAGGTATGGGGACACCCCTGACACCCAGCACTGCCCACACCCGGGTGGCTGGCCCAGCCCAGACCAGCCGCCTGGTCAGCAGATGGCTGCGCTGTGGGGCCCAGGCCGGGCTGGACGCGGCAGCCTGACCTGTTCTGCCCTCTCCGGAGCCAGGCCTCGCACCGGGCCAGAGTGTCCTCAAGAAGCGGGTTACCTCTCTCCAGGGGGTGCTTCTGGGTTCCCACGTGCAGTCGCAGCCAGGGTGTTTTGCAATGAGCTTAGCGACAGCACTCATTCCGGGAAGAACTGGGGAGGGCGTGCTCCCTGCCAGCAGGGGTCTGGGCGAGCAGGCGCGGGCTGCTCTGGGCCGGGTGGGGGCAGCGGGCTGGGGAGCGGGTGGCGCTGGCCGCCTCGTGGTCCAATTCCTCAGCCCCTCTGGGACTCTGGCCTCTAAGCTGTTTATCTGTCTGTCTGCCTGTCTATCTGGATTACAGAAGCTGACGGACTGGCTCCCACCGGATCCCCAAACTGGCTGCCTGCTACCAGGCGGCGTGAGCTTTGTTTAGTTTCATTTTATTTTGGGATATTTTTGAATATGACTCACAAGTGATTACTGGATGAAAAGGTATACTCACTTCCAACCCATGCCCCCTGCCCCGTGAGCAACCTTTCCCCGATTTTGTGTTTGTTCACCCGGCGCTTCTGTTGGCAAATACGAGTGGCGTGGACTTCCCTCACTTCCTACCCCGGAGGAAACATTTCACATGCATTGCTTTGCACCTTGTTCTTGCTGCTGAACAATATTACCTGAAGATCACAGCAGGCCGCCTGGCACCCTGCAGGGAAGGGTTGCGCCGTAGTTATTTCGGGCATTTGAGTTTTCAAACCCAGGCACCTGCAAACACCACGCCGATTCCTCAGCCAGGGCTTGTTTATGTTTGTTTCGTGGGAACCCCGGCCAAAGGTGCAAGGTCCTTCCCCCCTTTCCTACAGCCCTGTTACACACCGGCTCCTTCCCACGGTCCTGCGTGCTCCTTCCCTGCCTCCCACGCGGCCAGCGTCGCTACTCACGTTTTGCAGGGGGGGAAACCGAGGAGCTGAGAAATCAAGTCACACACCTAAAGGAACAACTGGAAAGTGATGGAGTCGGGGGTGTGAACTCAGGTCAGTCTGGGTTTTCAGGCCCTCCTTCTCATATGTCACGCTGCTGGGGGATGTAGAGCTACTTAGTCCTATGTTTCTAGGCTCCAGACGGCGCTCCTGAGCCCAGAGAGGTACAGGGACTCGGTCAAGGTTGCACAGCAGCACACTGGCAGCTCCCAGGGGTGAGGTGTCACTTTGCCATCAGCCGGACACCTGAGCTTTCCTGTAGGTGAGTGGGGGCTCCCCAAAGGGGCTCCTCCCTTCCCTGAACTCCCGGGCTAAGGGTGTCAAGCCCACAGAGGCTCCTCGGCCCACGAGCCAGGCATGCTCACAGAGAGGCACTGCAGAACGGCTCAGCGGGTTTACTGTACAGAGGACACGCAGGAGAGAGAAAGGGAGCAGGTGCACCGTGTACCCGCAGCTGCAGTGGGGCTGGAAGCCAGGTCCCCGGACTAGGAGTCTGGCCATCTCCCGCCCCAGCCTGCCCCAGCCAGCACCCTCCTTACCCGGCAGTGCCTGGTCTTTCCCCACGGCCCCGCTTCCTGCTCCCCTCCTCAGCTTCCTCCTGTCTTCTTCCAAGATGGCCACTCTGGCACCTCTCTGCCCTTGACCATGGGCCGGACCTTTATTTTGGGGGTGTTAACCGGCTGAGGCTGACCTCCACCTGCAAGGTGGGAGTGTGCGGGAGGTGGCTGTATACAGAATCTGGGCAACGTCAGCAGCTGCAGTAACACCCTGGGGTGTGTGTGTGTGTGTGTGTGTGTGTCTGTGAGATAGTTGAGGCTCAAATCCATAGACCTACAGCCTTCACTCCATGATCTCCCGGGGCGACTCTCGTGTGTTCCTCCAGAGATGCAATTCTAAAGTTCTCCATGTCCTGGGTGGGCTTTAGACCCTCTGGGAACATAAAGGCGGAGAATGTCCTGAGTGGGCCAGCCACCTGTGCTGGGGGTCCGAGTGAGGACTCAGGCCCCAGGGGACCAGAGGAGCCCACTGACTCCTTGCTGGGCCACCTTTGGAGAGCGCGAGATCTTGGACAATTCACTTCCTCCCTCTGCTCTCGGCGGTCCCTCCACAAAGTGGGGGTAATAGCCCTGTCGTTTTACTCTCAGGGGCACCGTGGGGATGAAGTGACCTGTTTGCTGGAAACTGTGTGGCACTGTTCCCAGGTCTGTGATTTCCAAGTTTTGCAGGTAAAAGAAATCTCACTCTGTGCTGCCATGTATATGCAGACTCGTGTACATATGCAAACCTGAACTTAATGCTGTGTCAGGGTGTTTGGGACTAGGGCCATATATTTGGGTATGTGGGTGCTCGAGTGTGTTAATAGGATTTGATTATCACTGTGTCTTCTCAACACCTTGCATGGGGCAGAGCAGGGCCCAATCAGTTTCCCTGTGTTTGAGTCCAGTTCCACCTCTTGCTGAGCTGAACAACTTGAACATGCCATAGAACCTTGGCGGGCTGGGCTCATTGTCCTCATCTGTAAAATGGGCCTAATGAACCTGCCTACCTCTAGGCTCTCGTGCAGTCTTGATGGACTAAGGCCACAGAGCTCTGGGCACAGCCCGAGACTCACATACCACCCTGCAGCAGCTCTCAGCCCTTAGGCCATTTTGTTTACTTTGACAAGAACTGGAAGAGAAATGGTGTGAATGCTGTCTCCTCTAGTGAGAATTATTATGGGAAGCGAGTGGTATCTCCTCCTCCCACCTCCCGATCCTCTTCCTTTGCTGAGTGTGTGGGTTTGATGGGCTTTGTTGGATATTTGATACTTGGGTGGATTTTCCTGCTCCGAGGGAAGAGCGCTGGAGGAAGGTGATGGGATGGAGAAGGCATTCTGACGGACTCTTGGAGCCCTTAGCTTGCCTTCCTGGATGTACTTTTGTTGTAGAGGAAACTGCTCTGAGACCAGAGAACTGCATCTGTCTGACGAAATCAGCCACTGTCTGTAGTAGCCCTTTCTAAACCGGCACTCAGCGGGCAGCTGGGAGCCCGAGGTGGCTCGCGTGCACCAAGGGAGTGTGGGAAACACCTCAACCATACCTCCCTTCGTGGACATCAGGCTGCTTATTGGTATTATAAAGATGCTGCACAATCTGCAATAAACAAATAATTTTAGTTTGCTTTAACCTCGCGTTTCCCAAGTGCACTCTTCTAGTACAGAATCCCTGCTACGAGGCCCTGTGGGCTGCACTGCGGACAAGCACGGATCTGCACAATCAATAGTATGGAAATCAACAAAGCCGTTGGTCTCCGGGTCACCCGTGGAGACAGGAAAATGGTATGTCATAAAGCAGCAGGTCTCAAACGCCAGCGCCCGTATGTGTCACCCGGGGAGCTCGTGCAAAGGCAGGTCCTGCAGCAGCAGGTCTGGGTTGGGTCCGAGGGTCTGTGCGTGTGACGAGCTCCCAGGTCATGCCTGTGCTGCTCGTGCGGGGACCGCACTTTGCTTGGTGAGACTATGAAGAACCCTCCACTGTGATGACATTTCACCTGCGTCTCTTTCTCAACAGCAGTTGGAGACTGGTGACCACCCACAGCAGTTCCTGAATTGGGCCATCAGACCCACCAGCAGGGAGGTGATCTTGCCTCTCCCTGCTGGACAGGCAGTCCCACTGGGGGACGGAGTGGCCAGGCTGGGTCAGCGGCTGACAGTCATGCAATGACCACAGCTTGGGGACAGCAAACCGCTTCGGAGCCTTGCAATCTTGGCGGAGTCTGCCTGAAAAGATGACAATCTGTAGCTCTTCTGCCACCTCCCCTGTCTCCGCAAATAAGGGTTGGGTCGTTAGCGTTTTAATTTATTTATTTATTAATTTTTAAAGAGACATTTCCCCTTTCTCTCCTCGGGTCTGGAGTCATTAAACAGGGATTAGCTGGATAAATAGAGGAAGTGATTTTTAAACTGTTTGCAAACTTAATGTGAAGAGCCCAGCCTTGCAAATTATCACGTCTAATCAGAGGCCCTCGCTTCACTGCTCCAGTAATTGTACTGGTATTAGTCAAATTCTTGTTGTCTCCTCATTAGCCGTGAAAAGGAGACTCAAGATGTACTTCATTAGAGTGTCCTGGAAATATATTGCTAATGTGGGGATGGAGGCGGAGGGAGGGCGGGCGGGGAGGGGCAAGAGCACGCAGCATCCTCCTCTGACCCCGGGACTCCTCCCCTCGCCCGGGGCCTTCTCCCCGCTTACCTGAGACACAGGCTCTGAGCTCTCTCCTGGGGGGCCTCCCTGGCCGGGCCCTTCTTTTCTCTGGGCTCAGTTCCCATTTGTGGGACCAGAGAAGTGGGCTGGGATCCGAGGGCCCTTTCTGTCTGATGTTCTTGAGCCCACTGTGGTTGTAACTTTGGGGGCTTTGGAGGGTGACAGCGCTTGCTGTCGTCAGGTCCTTGGCTTGGGCTCTCCTGGGGCTGTGCTCAGATGTCAGCCCCACCCCAGTCTGCAGCGGTCCTTGCTGTTGTCTAATAGGGGCGTTATCGATATTTTCTCCTCCTTTCCCCACCGCCCCTGCCCCTTCCCCTCCTTCCTTCCTACCTACCTATAGAGTGTCTTGTCTCATAACTATTTAAATTTAAATTAATTGAAATAAAAGAAAATTAAAGAGTCCGTTCCTCAGTTGCACTAGCCGCCTTTCCAAACGGCCAACAGCCCCCTGTGGCTGGTGGCTCCTGAGCGGGTAGTGCAGAAAGTTCTGGGGGGCAGCTCTGGCCAGGCCCTTGCTCTTACAGCCTGTGCCGATCAGCGTGGGCGGGAGGGAGGCGGGGCTGAGGAAGAGAGGGTCCTGCTCAAGCTGCTCACACCACTCCCTGCTACGGTTGTTTGTAGCTGGGGCATCCAGGTACACACCTGGAGCTACCCGGAGGCCGGGAGCCAGCCTGCAATGCCCGATCGCCAAGCTGGAACAAGTCAGCAAGGCTTCCCGGAGAGCAGGGAACTGTCAAAGTACAGGCCTGTCCGCATCTGTGCTTGTTTCAGGGTGACACTGGCCCATCGGGGCTCTTGTGCCGTAGAGTCCTCATCTGCACTTAGGGTAACGCTACTGCCCGTGGGGTCGCTGTGCGCACTAGGGGACACGTGGCACACCCACCCTCCACTCGCAGCGGCACGGACCTGACCATGTCACCCCTGCTGAAAGGCTGCGGTGTCTTCCCATCGGTTTCAGGTGGCCCCAAATGCTCAGCCCGCATGGTGGGCCCCTGCCCACCTCTGTAGCAGCCTCTTCTCAGCTCTCACCCTCAGAACCCAAGCTCTACACACCCAGGATTCATCTCTTCTTTGAAAGCTTTGGTGTCTGTCACCCCCAGCCTTTGCACGTGCCCGCCCTCTGCCTGGGACACTCTTTTGTTCTCTTGCATCCTCCGCCCAGGGAAGCCCTCTTCCCCTGTAGGTGCCAGTGCCAACAGCAGCCCTCCCCAACCTCCTGGACCAGACCAGGCCCCTCTGCTAGCTGCTCTGGTAGCAAGGTGGCAGTTTGTGATGATATTTTTATTTAATGTTGGTCTTACCCCCAGGTGAGCCCCCGAAGAATGGGGGTCTTGGCTGAGGTCCAGAAGGTGGAGTCCAGAGGGCCATGCGCTGGCCATGACAGCTTCATCCCATGGGGAGGGGGCCTTGGGGCCTGCTCTGTGCTTGTCCCCCAGGGCAGGGGAGAGACCAGCTGGGGGCAGGGACGGGACACCAGGCTCCAGAGGAACAACAAGAAGGTCGACAGCAATGTTGTCCCTGAGAAGACCAGAGGTTGCAGAAGACAAGGACAAAGATGTGGATTTTGGAGGAGAGGATTTGGAAGCCCGTGTCTGCCGCTTTCTAGCAGAGTCACTTAGGCTGGCCTTGGTTTGTAAGAATGGTACCTACCTCAAAAAGACACGCTAAGGATTAAATGGGATGGTGGCATGTAAGTTGCGGATCCCAAATCCTTCTCAAGTGTATGACTTGTAGATTTGCATAAAGACAAATGAATGATGTCTCATCTAAACTGTCCCAAACACCAGTCTGTTGAGCATGTCCTTCTGCAGGGATGAGGTGTTCTCAGGCGTGGCTTAGCTGGGTATCCCGGGTGTGCCGCCCAGGTGAGACCAGGCAACGGGCCAGGGCCACTCGCCACGGCACCGCTCGCCGTAGGTCTTTCTTGGCGGCCAACCCGAGTCACTGCCTGGGACGGTGAAACGTGTGTGGCCTCAGAGGTTAGACACATCTGAATCTGAGTTTATGCTCTGCCACTTGCCCACATCCACCCAGTTACATAAGTCACTCCACAGTCTGAGCCTCGGTTGCAGCAACTGTAAGATGCGGATAATAATATCTACCGTGCACCTTGTTGTTGTGCAGATTAATAACCACGCACAGCGCTCGCCTCGGAGTGTGGGCGATACGTCAATTCTTCCTCCTCTCTCTGTCCTTTCCCGGGACCTCCCTTTTCCCCGGAAGGGCACTCTGGGCCACCTCCCTCCTTGGCAGCTGCCCTTTCTTTCTCGGGGCCTCTGGATGCAGACCTGCCGCCCTCGGAGCCCTGGAATCCGATTTCTCTGCCTCCGTGAGGACAGCGGGCTGAGTCAGCTCCCTGGGGATTCGCGCTTGAGGTTCCTGGGAGTCTGGGTGCCTCTGCGCCAGCTCTCACGCTGCTAATGGACTCGGAATAGATTCCGGGCTGATGACACAGCCCTGAAATGTGGAGTTCACTGGAGAAGCCAGGGTTTTGTTTTTTTTTTTTTTTTAAATAACTTCTAGCACAATAGGTTTCCTTTAAATCAGGAACTGGTTGCCTGCATTTCTGGCTTCTGGTAACTTCCTCCCTGGCCCTGTGAAGGCCACAGGAGGATCAGTTAGATGCCTCTGGTGCTGAGGAATGGAAAGGGGCCAAGGAGGTGGCCTTGTGTCCCCTCCCTGCTATCCTGTGTGGTGTGGGGGGCAGGAAGCCCCAGAGGGAAGCCCACTGCACAAGGCTCTCTGCCGCTCTGGCCCACGGGAGGCCCTGGCTCTCGGATGCAGACTCGCACCTGTGCAGAAGACGGAGGAGGAAACGAAGGCACCAGCTACGGCATGATGACCCTGGAGACCCAGAGGGGTTGCCTGACCTGCCAGGGGTCATGGAGCTGGTTGGGTGACCTGGGCTAGACTCTCCTTCCCCAGGTCCTTTCCACACTTGACCCTTAATTAATCAACTCACCCACCGCTGCCCACCCACCACCGTGAGACACAGTGGAGCTCACAGACCGTGCATTTCATTGTGTTAATATCAGTTACTGGACTTGCATGGCCTGAGCTGGACTGTTCCCTCTCTGAGTCCTGCTCCCTCTTCTGAAAACTGAGGGTGGCAGTGGCACTGTCTTTGGGAGGTTGCTGTGAGGAAGAAGGGGGTGCCATGTCAGCACTCAGTAAACTCCTTTCTGGAAATAACCCTCCTCTAGAAAACAAAGTTGCTTACTGCCTGTAAGTTCTGCAGGGGCTGATGGGCTAGACCCCATCTTCTCAAAGTGTGGTCCCTGGACCAGTGGCAGAAGTATCTTCAGGGAACTTTCTGAAATGGGCATCTCAAGCCCCTTCCCATTCCTACTGAATCAAAAACTTGGGGTAGGGCCCAATGGTCTGCATAACAAGCCCTCCGGGTGATTCTCATGCTCCCTAATTTGAGAGCCCCTGGGCTAGACATTCCCTTTCTAGGGGCCCAGAGGAGGGAAAAGCCCTTATGGATGGGGGTGAGGGGTCAAGGAAGGTTTCCCAGGCTTGAGGACTTTAGAAATGAACATCGGGAAGGCAACTTGATGCTGGGTGCTGCAGAGGAGTTTGGGTGTGAGGAACAGTATATAGGAGGGGATGTTGAAGGCAGATTTGCCAAGGCCCGTCCTGTGCTCACCACTGCCTGCAAGACAGGCAGAATGATTGCCAAGGCCAGGGCTGGGATTCGGATTTGATTTTGATGGACTGTCAGAGACATTACATCTGTATTGGGTCAGAGAGGTGAAATCAGGATCAGATACTCATCCATCCATGGATCTATCCATCTGTCTACCCATCCATCCAGTATCCATCTATCCCCCTGTTCATCTGTCTTTCTATGCATCCGTCTATCTATCTGGTCATCCACCTATTCATCTGTTCATCCATCCATTCACCCATCCATCCATCTGTCCTTCTATCTATTCATCCATCCATCCATTCACCCATCCATCCATCTGTCTATTCATTTGTCTGTACATACATTTATCCATCTGTCCATCCATTTCTTTTTCCTTTTTTTTTTTTTGAGACAGAGTCTCGCTTGTTGCCCAGGCTATAGTGAGTGCCGTGGCATCAGCCTAGCTCACAGCAACCTCAAACTCCTGGGCTCAAGAATCCTTCTGCCTCAGCCTCCCGAGTAGCTGGGACTACAGGCATGTGCCACCATGCCCGGCTAATTTTATATATATATTAGTTGGCCAATTAATTTCTTTCTATTTATAGTAGAGACGGGGTCTTGCTCTTGCTCAGGCTGGTTTCGAACTCCTGACCTCGAGCAATCCACCCACCTCGGCCTCCCAGAGTGCTAGGATTACAGGCGTGAGCCACCTCACCCAGCCTATCCATCCATTCTTTCACTCAAAAATTATTGAGCTTTACTCTGTGCCAAGCATTAAGCTATGCCCTTGGCTTGCTGACATGAGACAATCAGTGATACCAATTGTGTGCTTTGATGAACTTAAACAATTGAGTAATTGAAAATCCGCTTAAATAAAACAACTTTCTACCCATCACTATCTAAAATATAAGATTAAATATTTCTGGGTAGCATGAAATAGAAGCAATATTTAAATTTAAATTATGGTCTCATCTTCGAGGTGCATATAAGACTGGTTCTAGGAATTAGATGTGTTAAGAGTGGAACTTCACCCAGAAGAGGAGTCACAAATAACCACACTCATTTGTTTGCTCATAGAGCTTCCAACCTCTCCTTCTTATCCACTTTCTGATTTAATCCTGAAAACAATACCGTGAAGTCTGAGGAAATTCAGACTCTGAATTTAAATGACTTGCCCCGAGTGACAAAGGAAAAGAACTGCAGAACCGCATGGTGAAGCTTGATTC